ATACGCACATGGAATAACTATTTTTAAGACTATTGCATCTCAGTTTACTGATATAGCTCATATAGATTATAGATAGTTATATAACATGTTTCATCATACCTTAGGGGACAATGTTAAAAACATTAAACATACAGCTATTGGGATCGCTTTTGTTTTACAACTCAAACTACTTACCATCCATAAACTTACTTCATGTACAATTATTGTAAAATGCAAGTAAGTGCTCTTTGGTATCATAAAAACACAGTTAGGGCCAATTGTACTGTCTACGGTTAAACTATAGGGCCTGTTGCACCATCTCTGATTAAAGTTAACCGGAGTTTAATCGGCCAAATTTGCCCGGTTAAATATCTGTTATCCGCTGATTAAACTTAATCTTAGTTTAACTGTAGACGATACAACTGGCCCTTAGTCTTATATAATGTTATAAATTATAATAAATATTGTGTAAAAATGAATATTGCTTAGGGCATGCAAAGTAAGGATACAACCCGATTGTGTAGAATTTCAGTATTACAATTTGAGGAATACCTAAGAAATCCTTTTTCCAATAGTCAATTTTCAAATTAAGACAATCAAATTAAATGAGTTTCTGTCCAAAAAGAAAGCTACTTATATGGTTGAATGGTTGAAATTAATTAATTTTTATAATACTCAATAATCAATTTAATAACACGATTTAATATGATTAAACATCATCAAAATAAACATACAAAATAAAAAATAAAAATTCAATTTAATAAGAAATGGAAAATGGTTAGGCAACTAAGAATTGTGAATAAATTATAAAATTATTAGCTAATCTCGTCATAGAAAATTTAAACTAAACATTTTAATCGTAATATATAATCAATGAAAGATAAATACATCAAAATATTTTTGTGAATTTTAAACTTAGGTAATATATTATAGGTATTTTCATTTAAGTCTGATTACATATTAAATTGGATAGAGTCATTAAACCACTCAAGTTAGAACACATTTGTTTCATTGTTGCAACTTAATATTTATATTACATGAGTTATGTGTTGATATTGTCTATGAAATTGGATATTTCTAGGCAGTTTGTTGTTCTATGGGTTTATTTGTACATTTAGGTTTTGGATACAAAAATATTGCTCAAAAATAAAATGAAAATAATGTATGTAACAATTTTATGAAAAATTAGGTATTGCAGATAAGCACTTAAAACAACCATAAACTACCCATCGTATTTACCTGAATACAAAAGTTAAAAGTTTAAGAACACTAATCGAATTGTTAAAAATTTAGTATTATTTTATCATGTAATATACCTATACTATAGAGTATAGATCATCAACCCATATCTGCCAATAATAGTCTATTGTCTATAAGAGTGCAAGTGCAAGTGCAAGTGCAAGGACAAATCACCAATCTGAGTGAAAATGATAATACATGTGATACCTTCTTCCTAAAATATATGTAACTGATAAGAATAATATGAAATAATGATACATCCAGGAAATAAAACTGAATTTATCACGTTTAACACGCTATCTAACATGATAAATATACAAACCGGAGAAATCTAATGATTATTTCTTAAATCAATGATTGTGTACAAGGTCAATAACCACTAAGTATAACTAATGAAATAACAATTAATAATACATTGTGAGTAGCATTGAATCAAAATTACGAAATTTAGGGAACAATTGTTAATAATACTTAATAAAAAAATAAGGGAAACACAAGGCCAAATTTTTTTTATATTATAATATATAAGAACACATAAAACATAATTTTGACAGTCCTGATGTTAAAAACATCATGTAAAATGTAAATTATATGATAAAATAATATTTATGATGTGGATGACAATATTTTGAAAACTTTCTCTTTGCATTGTTGTTTATAATGTAATTCACTATAATATTAAACCTAAGAACACAATATTGGTTCTGCTGAACAAAAATATTGGCCATGGATCAGAGAAAAAAAACAAATAATGGAGTAGATAGGTATCCTCTTAAATAAGTCTAAGTAATACTATACACATAATATATACCACTACACTTATAAATAATAAGTACCTATATAATTTGTTCAATGATCATATTACTATCATAGGTACCCACGGGTACCCATTATGCACAAATAGTTTTTAATACAGTATAAACGTAGTTTCTTCACAATTATTCTTAAACATAAAGCCAATTGTTTTAAATTGTTAGCTCAATCTAAGGTCAACTGAAGTTGCTAACTAAATACAGACAAAATGTCCATTAATCATTGACTTCTCTTTAAACATTATTCGGAAAAATCCATTCTAAACAAAAATTACTAGGAGTATGCAACTATAAATAATGAATGTAATAAAAAATAAATGTGCATTAGATTTAATTAGATAGTTAACTAGTACCTAGTACTAAGTACCTAATATTAATTTTATAATATTTTAAAATCAGATTATTACATTTTTCTTGCATTAAATGCAATTCTTAAATTTTTGTAGAATACAAATACTCAAGTAGGTATTAGTTATCATAATTGCATTAGTTGTGTACATAATTACCTCGATAATTACATTAATATACCACATGGGTATCTCGTATTTATTGATTCTACAAGTATAATTATAAAGACATTTTATGTAAATCTAATAGTTTAAAAATTTTGAATATAACTTTAAGACCTTTATTTATGTAGGTAGGTACTTCCCCACGAATTCAATATTACTTTAACACCAGGTCTCGAAACAAGTTTTATGAAATTGGTTAAAAATTTGGGGTTTTTGTGGTTCAATACCGCAATTGCGACCAAAACCAAAAGCTTTCCAATCCAGGTTGAGAACCATAACTAAAACCTAAGAATTGAAAAACCGTTAGCTAAACCCACAATACTTAACTTGAAATTGATTTTTTTAATTTTATAAATGAACTACAATTTACAATATTAATTTTAATTAAAATAAGTATTTATTAATAAAAATCCAGATGATATTCCGAAAAATAATTTAGGTATAATAACTAGGGATCAAAATTTCCGGAAAAATGGTTTTGACGAAAAAAAATGGTTTTTCTTCTGAAAAATTGAATGAAAAAATGGTTTTTGTGAATAAAATATTATCGTATCTCACTAATGACGTTTTTTTGTTGCCTACATATTTTCCTAATAATTAATACTATCATTACTCAATTGTCAAACGTGTGTTGTCTATATTTATCCACAACTTACAAGTTATATTAATTATATAACATTTAAAAATACAGGTGATTTATTTTCGAGGAATACTGTCTCCCACATAAACCTATTTGATATGTAATAAGTAATTAAGTTATTTTTAGAACAAATATTGAAATATCAGTATTAATAATGTTTAATAATTTAATTTTTAATTTTAATACAATGATACATTGATAACCGGATTGACAAATGTGAAATGACAATGGCAGGTTTCCTCATCTATTTTTTAAAATGGTTTTTTTTAATTAGATTATTATAATTTTTAAGCTTAAATACAAATTTTAATTTTCCAAAAACTGGTATTTTTCGGAAATGTATTATTTTAATATTCTCCAATTTTCCACATATTCCGAGGATCTGGGAAAAAAACAATTTTTTTCTGAAATTTTCCTGAATTTTTCCAGCATTTTGATCACTAGACATAACTGTTAAATTATTGAAAAATTTGTTACTGAAACTTTAATTTAATTTAATAAACCGTTCTCAAAACTCAAACTGTAGGTATATTTTCAATACCAGATTTTAAAAACTGAGAGATAAAGATAAAATAAAATGTCAACCAAGTAAATAAAAATGATTTAATTTTATAATTAACAATTATAACTATAACAATGAAGATTGATGTTTCAAGATATGCTTTTGAAATATACTAAATATATTAAAGTGATTCATGATAAATGGAGTTTGATGTTCGTAATTTATTTTTAAATACTAAGTATCAAATATCAATGGAATATAAATAATATAATCCATGACATATCCATGTCACCATATTAAAAATTGGGTCAAATAACCTGATCTATCTATCAGTGATTATAAATATAATTGTATTACTAAAATAGTAGGTATTTAAAATCAATAATTGCACGTTTTACATTTAAAAAATTAATCATATAGTACATAATATACTATAGTCTATAACTAAAATGATATTATATGTAATATTCTATATAAGTTGAATTTCTTAATTTGTACATAGTAGTATACACTTATATAAGTTTTGAAGTTAAGTTTTAATACTTAGTATAAACATCACAAATTAGAAATTACCTACTTAATCGTAAGTTTCTATTTTGATTTTAAGTTTTCTATAGCTATGAAAGGAATTGTCATTTGTTAATATTTAATAAAACTTGAAAATATCCCAGCAGTAAATAAAAAACCCATATCAAAGAAATGATAATTAATTTAATGATGTCGTACTTTATTATATAAGTATGTAATTAAATTATAAATTCTGTGATATTAGGAAAACAGATTAACACTGGGAGTGCTGCCGATGCCTATCATACTGATGGTTAGGTGGGTTCCCCCTATCCCCTATGTGGAGTCTGAATACTATTATCAGAATATCAGATGGTATGTGTTTTCTAACATTTTGTATATGTTTTGCTTTAAGGCTTTAAGTGAAGTGTCTTTGAATGTATTTGATAACATTAGTAGAAATTGTACTTACTAACGTATAAAGTTAGCTATACCAGCATATTAAGTTTCGATAACAAAATTAATTTATTAAAAAAAGTAAATTAACGAATATAAAACAATATCTATACATCCCAAATCAGAAGGAACAAATTGTTTCCACGAGAGCGCGTTTTGTTAATCTGCTTTCCCAATAGCAGCATTCCTCATGAGAACTTAAAACATTTCAAATGTATTGTTAAAATGCAATATATTAATGAATAATAATGCATATAAATTATAATTGAGATTATAATTGATATTCTCTGATGTTAATAAACATCCCACTGTAGGTAATAAGATAAAAAGAATTTTTAAATTTTTTAACTTACCGAGTAGATTCTTGTAATAATAAATGCGGTGGTACCCAAAATTTGACTCGGAGTGCAAAACGATAAGGATGAACTCCAGCAACTTGATGTTCAATCAAATTTCTTAGATTCAACCAAACATCTTGCCCTTTGACAGTTTTGTACTGTAATCCAAAGTAATCACATTCTTTGTTGATGCCCAAACATTCACATACCTATTACATATTAAAATTTTTTAATATTTTGGTTACTACTTAATAGTGACCTAATTTTAACTAAAAAAATTATAAGATATAATATCTGTAGTCATTAAAAATTGATAAACATAAATCACACTCAACATTTAATTTTTATTTCCCTATTTAATGAAATTATAATATCTAATAAATACAAGTTTAAGTTTTTATTTAGGTACTTAGACATAATTTTTTATAGCTACATTAAATTATCACTTAGTAATTTTAAATACATAATATAGGTATGCTAGTAAATACATAAATAGGGATAATTAATATATTAATTACTTATTCATCCTGCATAGTATTAATCTATAGCATTTTATATATGTGTAACAACTAAAAATGTAACTTTACAATAACAATATGTTATTATGTTAACTGTACCTATTGGCTATTACCATTGCTATTACCTACACACCCACCTATATTATTTTATTTTAAAATTTAGGTAATAAGGATGATTGTTATTGAAAAAACTAAAATTAACCCATTTATTTAATTAACTAATTACCTATGTTGTCAAAATCCAGTTTTAGATAGGTATACAAACGATGAAACAAATATATTATGTAAAATATACTATGGTGTATTAGAAATTGAGGTCCCTATTTACCAGGGATGAAAAATGTTTTTAATTTTTTCGTTTTTGTGTTTGTTTATTGATTTAAAAAATATAGTTTTTGTTTAACATTTTTAAAAACATTATTTTCCTATTGTTTCTAAATAACGTTTTTGATAATATTGTTTTTATTTTTTTATAATAGTAACGCGCAATATAGAAATACACTTGAAAGTTAAAAGTTTAAATTAATTATTCTTAATATATAAGTTTTAAATCAAACTTATTATTTATGTAAAAAT